GGAGTCATTGTTCTAAACACATTTACTGGAGTGGAAAGCGAATTGTTAAAACTAAGTTGTGTGACAAAGCCTTCGGATGTGAGCAGTCATTTCTGAAAAGTGCCGGTGTGGAATTACGCAGCAGGCTGTGACTAAACAGACCACAGTCATTATAAATCACACAGGAGTTTTATTTTGAAATCTGGTTGTTATTGTGGCCGGCAGTGTCAAGGAGACGCCGTTTTCTAATTTTACCCAGGTGATTTTCCTGACAGGGGAAAAACGGGGAAGTCTCCATTTAACAGAACTTTTTTTTGTTTGTTTTCCTTGTTTCTCTTAGTATTGTTTCGACACAAATTAATGGAATTTGCTGAACTTTGTTGCTCAACAGGCCAGGGTCTCATAGCAGTGAACCTGGCATTGATCAAGGTCACTCTCAGTTAAATAACTCCCTGAATACCTGATAATTACTGCACCCTATTAAAAGATACATCTTAAGACCATTCATCAAGGGTCGATTATTTATTTATTTTACGATAACTGAAGCATTTTAAGCAGGACATAACAATAAGGTATTAGGGGGGAAAAATATTGACCAGAGCTGAAAGTTTCATCAGAGCATGATTAGTAATGGTTTAAAAAAATAGACAGAATTTCTTAATTGCTAAGAAGCTGAATAGCTTAGAAATAAATCCTGAATATCTCTCGTAATGAATTCTCCTTGAATTTCGGATTCAATTCATGTAATAGTTTCTACGAAATTAAGTAGAAATCTTTCCTTTCCTCGCTTTTTTTATCACACTGACCATTTCTGCTCACTTCCAGATGCATTAATGATTTACCTTCCATCTGCCATTATTCAGCCTCCGTCAAAGGTGAATGTTCCTTCTCCCATGCTTATTTCATAAGACCGATCAAAACGTTTCTGGTAACGGCTTGTCACCTTAATCCTCTTAGGTTAAGGCTAGTCTAATTGTGCTTAAACTGTCTTCGACAAATATGAAGTCTTTATGAAATCAAAACTTGGAATTACCCTTCACTTGTACTCTCTTGTTTGCTGGACTCTGGATTTCATCGACGACTGGGCTAGGAATTTGTTAGCAGGTAGGTTGAAGTTTTGATTTAATCCAGTGGGATATCCGTGCAAAAAGCTCACATGTAATCAATCTTTTTTTTTTTCATTCTTTTCATGTGACAGCAGTTCTGCTTAAAATGCAGTGAATTCCATTGGCTTTTTTAAAAAACAATAGTAAAACTCTTAGTCAACTACCTAGCTATATGGAGAAATGAAAGAGTACTTAAATAAAAGTATCCTAACTGTTCCACAGTCTTGTCCAGCAGGAATAGTAGGAGTTTTTACCCTTTAGGGTTTTGTAAAACATCTTCGGTTATCTGGTAACAAAAACCATTAACCAGTGAGCACCATAAGAAGAAATGTGCCTGTTTTCAGTTGTTTTCAGCTGTGTCAAATACCGTACAGTGCAATTGTATGTTCCAGACACCTGACTGAAGGATGTGTTATTTGGAAGGGCTGCCTGGAGGATATGTGTCAGTGAAATGGCTATTGATAGATGCCCATTCAGGTAGTTCATTCATACTGTGGCTTGGGTCCATTTTTATTGTACATGCAGTGAATGGAAAAACTCTTCTCATTAGGCTGTAAACAAGAGTAGAAGAAATCACAAGCAGCCGTGTCAGGTTGTTCATTGAAAACAAAAGGCACAGTTCATTGATGAACAAGTTGGAGATATTGCATGCTGAATTCATGTTAACTTTTCAAAGTTAATGGCTTTGGCAGTGTTCATCATCAAGTTTTGTAAGTCTTTTGGAATTGGTTCAGTAAAATGAATAGCTAGTTAAATGAACTTGCTAAATTCAACTAAGCAAATCCGAAAAGACCCTGTCATCTTCAGTGTGAAACTCCAGTATTAACTCTTGCTTAAAAGCACAATAATTTAGAGTGATGATATTGTTTATTTATATATTGTTATATTTCTGAGGAAACGCTGAATTAATTGTTTTTTATTTATATTTTATCTGCTCTGTAGGAGATCTTGTTCTTACCACAAAATTCTGCTGTTGGCAACTGTATAGGCATGCATGCATTTGTTTCAGAGCACTTGGGGGTGCTAACCCAGGTTAGAAAATATTTTTTTACTCAGCACCTGAGCTTTAGCTTCCCAATGAGATATGTGGAAAGCTCAGTTAAAAACTGGCGAAGATCTTAACATAAGTAATCTTAAGTCAAGATCTTTAACTTTCCTAGAAGTTTCCTTTGCTTTCTGTGTTAACATGCGACTTGGCAGAATTACACAACTTGTGTTTTTTCTCCCTGACCCAAAATGTTGTCTTGTCATTTACTTCATTTTGCTTTTTTTTTGCAGAACTCAAAAGTTATAAATCGGAATTGAGCTTTTTTTTACAAAGGTTTTTTTGTGCTTTTTTACAAAGCACTGTCCTCCTGGACAAGGAACGTATTGTAGCTTTGCTACGGGACTGTGACCCCCTGCTTGCAGATAAGGCTTAGGAGAGATCAACAGAGCTGGGCAGCAAGCGCTGGGAATCCCCTGTCCCTGTAAGAATAAAGGCATTGACTGAAATGATCATCAGTCTGAAAGACTCGCATTGAATCTCAGACTTTTCCTATTCGTCTTCAAGTTTGCCCTTCACCATTCACTTTTTTACAAATTTCCTGACACCTAAACAATACATTTCTCAATTTTCAAAATGTTGCCATTGCACCACCACCTCTCAAAACCATGAGACCCTAGCCTGGTGCTTCTTCTGCAATGTGTTGTAATCCTGTAATTCTCAAGAAGCAACCTTCTGCTAATCCAGTAAGACTGTAATGAAATCGCCCTTTACCACCAGCTGGGTGGACAGTCTATAAAAGGGAATGCTGTCATTCCTGATGGCGGTTTACCTAATATCATTAGTGGGGAAAGTGGGCCCAAGTGTCACAGTGCCATATGGGATCTCAGCATATGCCTTTGCAAGAGCTACAGTATTTGTCAGCAGGAGCAAGTGAGGATTCTACTGTACATTGGGATTTTTAATTTGGGTGAGTGGCAAGGACACATTAATAGATCGCGATGAACAGAGACTGTCTGTTTGATATGTTTTTCTTGCTGCGACTCTCCAGCGGCAATTTCAATTACTTTTTAAAATTTGCTTTTTGGCATCTATAGTTCATGAAGGAAATGTTTTCTTACAGCTGGATCAGAGCAAAGTCTACTATAATGATTCAGCGTTGTTTGGTGGAAAATGCTTCGTGTTCTACAGGAGTTGCAGATTGTTTGCTCGAAAACAGGTCACGTTTGTCCATGCTGGTTGATTTGATGTACTGTAATGTGAACGTTTACTCCTTTTTTTTGGTTAAAGACAACATCTTTTTTTCAGCTTCACTTTTAAGATTGTATTACTAGACAAATATCTTCTTAAGCTCAACCGCTGACCCTTTTTAGAGTTTGCAGCAATTAGTCAAACAATGCTACATTTCTTATCTCCTTGTGCTTTCAATATGGATTGCAAGTTTTGCAAAGGAAAGGTTTTGTGTGTTTAATGATTTTTTTTTTCCTATGCTATGGTTTTAAATCAAAGCTTTTAAAGCTTTTGTGCTTGATGTAGTTGAACCATTATTTATACAGAAATAGATAACCTAGCCTGACAAAAGAAAAGACTGGAGCTTGTTGAAGAATATAGTGTTAGTGGTGTAGGCACAGACTGGAATGACAAATAAGGCTTTCAGTGATCGGATGGTTCAGAAGAAGGCGTTTGTTAAGGGAATCAAAGAGAAGGAAAGGTTTTGCCAAAAATAGTTCCATAAGCAAGAAGAAGCTTCTTTGTCAGCAATGTTATTTCCAAGTCTGATTGAGGTGGGGGAGTGATGGTTTTGTTTAGGATAGCCATTAAAAAGAATCTAAAAAGCAGCGTCGACAGCCCAGTATTTCACAGAGTAAAAGTTCAGTGCTGTGTTGGCGGTGTTTTCAGTGTTGGAGAACCTGTCCTCCTAGAAAAAGCAAGTGGAACAGAGAAATGAAGAGGTCAGCCAGGAGTTAAAATACAAGAGATGTGGTGTTCCACCAAGATGGGGGTTTAAGCATGACAGGATAAGTCAAACAGCCTCCTTTTGTTTGTAACATTTATTACTTAATTCCTCATTAAAATGTTGTTGCTTGGATACTTCCTTGAGTGGTTCTGGGACAAAATGTTAATATACCATTTTCAGAAATGGCGTTTATTTTTTCTGTTTTCTTTCTTCTGCCATTGCCATCTTCAGTTCCTGCCGGATTTCTGCCCAATTTCCGTTGAGACCGGTGATGTTCTTGACGAGCGATCAAGAAGGCGCGCATGCTCATGTCTTGAGCTGTGTGGTTTTTTAACTTGTAGCTCGAGAGGACCGCTGAAAAAGAATTAGAATCTATGAAAAATGTGAATATCTCAGAAGACCTCAGTACTGAGCAGAACAGCCACAAACTGTTAAAACTGCTTGACTCTGGACTCTTTTGGTAGACTAAATCTTAGATGCATTGCAGAGAGCAGAGGTATCAGTTTTAATGCCATACATACCAAAGAAATGTGCTTTGGGAAGATTTTTATTCTCCTTGTTGTTCCTGGCTCATGCTATGTGAAACTATGTTCTAAAACGAGGTTTATTGTGAATTGCATAGGATGGAGTTTCAGAGCTAAGGATGAATGAAGAATTTAGGCCTTATCATATCGTCTATGCCATGGTCACATGCTGTATGTTAGTTTTATCAGTTTTGGTTAGGGAAAGAGAGGACTTCATAGGGGGAATTTTGGTTTTAAACAATGTACAGTATTTACATAGTGTTAATAAAGCCCCACTTATTAAAATGAATACCCCTTTATCAGCCAGATTGCCTCAATATTGCTTACATCTCTCAATGTCCAGTGCCGTTCATTCTGATACAGTACGTCTGGACTCTCACATGTTAGGTGAAGCCTAATGCAAAAAGAAGCATTACCTTGCCTGTCACTGAGTTCTTTCTTTTTTGCAGATGGTTAGAGACCCTGATTGTGTACCCCAGGACTAACAAGCAAAACCTTAAAAAGAAGAGAAAAGTTGAGCCTCCCACTCCACAGGTACAGTTTTCGACCTTTCTTTCATTTTTCTTAAAGAAAGCTAACCAGCTGGCCAACTGTACTTAAGCATGACGCCAGACCAGTCCTTGAAATCATGCCTGGGATGACCTGGAAATTAGGTGTTCATGTCTGAGTTACTGTTGGCTGGATCCTGGGCCGTGGCGCCTTCAGAGATCCAGAAACAAAGCAGGTTTTCCTTCCGGACACGCGCAGGTGCGTGTTGGATGTCTGGAACTGAATCTGAAGAGAGGAAAGTGGAAAAAGCTGCACTGCATTTTTTGTTACACATCTGTCCTGCTATGTAGTTGATGTGTCAAATAATTTATCAGCTGTGGAGCCCTGTCTCTGTGTGTCATCTAAAGTATTTAACGTGTCCTTAACTTTAATCACACCCAAAAGCTCATTAAGATCAGATCACTTTATTAGCCATATTCAATTTCTTGTATTAGGAATTTGTCTTTTCACGTATCCCATCTTGCTCTCCATGAGACACAGACGTGGAGAGAAGCTTGGTGTCAGAGCACAGGGTCAGCCATTTATACGGCGCCCCTGGAGAAGTTGGGGTTAAGGGTCTCACTCAGGGACCCGACAGAGTAGGATTCCTGTGCCGGCCACGGAATATGAACCAGCAACCTTTCAGCCACAGGCACAGATCCTCAGTAGCTCTTGGACTACAGCAAAGTCTAGCCTAATACTAGTCCTGGTGTCACTGATCCTTTCGGTGATTTATTGTCCCTGTGGAAACTTGCGTCTCAGTACTGCTGCAGTGTTACAGTCCTTCAACACTGTCAGGTCTGGTACAGCAGCTACTGTACATTCCAGTTTATCATCCGAAATCTGTGTAGATGTCAGACATAACGATAGTCTCATGATAATGGCCTACAGTGCCAATGATGCAGTTCAGCCAGTCACATGATTGTGTTTATTCGGTTTGTGCAGTCCTGTTGTCTCACCACAATATTGGGCTTTCAGTTGCGCGGTTAGATTCTGTTTTGCCACCACCCTGAGGGAAAACACCCGTGCCACAGTATCTGTGTGGGACCAGGTTTTCCAGTTTTAGATTGACATCTGTAATCAAGGGTTCATTCTGCTGTAACATACTGCTGCCTGAATGAAGGTACTCTCTCTTTTCACCAAAGGAGAGAGTTATTTTTCAGAGGCTATGCACCAAGTAGATTTATTTCTTTATATTTTAAAAAACAATACAAAATCAATAAATGCTAAAGATACAATTCGAAATGTGACTGCATGCAATCTGGAGGCTATTGCAGAGCCACAGTGTGACCCTAACTACTGGCTTCAGGATCCAAAGATTTTTCATGACATGATTTTTCAGTGTTGTGAATATTTTTTCAATCAATTGGGAAATGTAATTTTCAACTTCAAAAGTTCTTGTTCTTTTTTGGCTGGTGTTGGGGATGCATACATACCACAGTGTGAATTGTCTTATAAAATATTTTTTTATTATAGATGCTTCCACTATTTTTTCTTATTTTTCCATTAACATCTGTGAGGCTGGCCAGCTTTTATTTAACTGGCTACTTATATGTGTTTTTTTCCTGTGAAGTACTGTACTTCCAGTGCTACAGATACAAGCTACAAATACAGGTAGGATTATCTGACAGTGCTAGGAAATGCAGATGATTAATGCCATCTGTATTTATTCAAAGCCAAGTCTCATGCACAGTGAAATGAATCTCCTTAATAGATCTTTATAAGGCTACATATACAGTAGTTTGTTAGCACGAGTAAAATTTCTTTTTTTTCTTTAAACTACTGCCATCTTGTTCCTAGGTCATTTTGGTCTCACACTGGTTTCTCCTTCTTGGTCTCAGAGAAATAGGTTGTCTGAGTGATCTAGCTCTTTTATGTTAAAAATTGCATGGAAGGGCACAACTTGTCACAAAGCAAGAAATTAAAAGTGTTTTCTGAAATTACACTACCTAGGTACCCAGTTTACAGATGTTGGTTTCTAGACGGGAGGTCAAAATTGAACAAACACTGCACATTTAACCAACTTTAATAACTAAGACCCACATTGTTTTAGTGCCAAAGTGACATAAATGTTTAGAAAACTATATTTTTGTTATCATAAAAAAAACAAAAAAAAAACCTGAAGTGAACTTATAACTTGTGTTTGTTTTTAATATTGTGAAACTGGGTTTAGTCTTTTTTATGAGGTTATAAAACAACTGAGGCAAAATTTGAACCTGATGGTGGACAGAAGCCTTTTCCTTTGGCTCTTTCGATGTGTACGTGCAACACTTGTCATGGGGCACATTACTAGAACAGCGTACTGTTCTGATGGAACAGTTTTCAGGATCTGGGAACGAGGAAATGTGGGAGATTCTCAGAGTTTAAAACTTGGCTTGGGGTGGGTCAGATCCACTGGTTTAGAAAAGAATTGAAGTAGAAGAAGAATGATCTCTTACCCCCATTGCCCCACGCAGATGAAAGATAATAAGCTTTCACTAATTTGCATGAGGTTTCTTTTCAATCACTCTCCTGAACTTCACGTGTGGAAGGAGCCTGAGCCCCTTCCCTTCTCTCCTCTACCAGAAGGTGGGTTGAAGTAGAACAGGCAAGACCTAGGTTTTGTGGCCTGGATATTGTCTGTGTCAGCACTCACTTAAGAGGTTCTTTATGTAGTGTGCATTGTTATGCATATATATTGTAATTATTTCCATATGCTTGTATAGGAAGTGTCAGCTTTGTATGTATAGCTAATCTAGCATCCTTTGAAGGGTGCAGCACAGTGGTGGAGTGGGCGTAAAGTGTCACTTCACTTTTCCTGGATCCTGGGTTTAACTCTGGCTCTGTTTATGTGGAGTTTGCATGTTCTCCACAGGCTTCTAGGGCTTTTCTCAGGGCGCTCCAGTTGGGAGTGCCCCAGGCTCCCTCTGCCTGCTGGTTTAGGATCTCAAAGCCACCCTCGAAGGATCAAGTATTAAGTGAAAGAGGCGGGATGGAAAAAAATCCGTCTCCCATGACTGTGGAAGGTGATGGTATACAGTTAAACGTATACTGAATCAAAAATGAAACTTTTGTATTATCTGCCCGAGCAAAATGCCAGTTTACTCCGTTTTCTGCAACGGATCTGTTCTGTGATGAGGTAATGACTCCTTGGAACGCAAAGTTGAAACCCTGGGAAACATTCTGGAACTTGATGGTCCAGGAAAAAGGAAAAAAGAAACAGAGCAGGTGGCTGTTTTCCCAGGCTTTGCTTTCCAGAGCAAAAGCTTCCTTCTTTGATCAGTGCCAGAGTGTTGTATTGGTATGAAGAGGCAAGTATAAACTAAGCATAAGGGACTGTTCAGGTTCAATTTCCCATGTATGTGCAGAACCCTTCTTTCCCTTTTGAAATGAAATAGGGTTAGGAAAATATTGCCGTGGCTCTGTATTAGTCACCTCTCCATTATTTCCTCTTTTATTTGAAAGGGGAAACTGTGTTTCCACGTCTGCACTCCAGCAGTTGTCCTCATTTCCAGGATTCGGCTGTAAAGTTTTCCTTTCCTAATGCGAGACCACGCCGCCAAGCAAAAAAACAAAATGATCCCCCCACCCCCCCCCAAAAAAAAACATGCCTCATGTTTAAACTCTGCAAAAGGTGCTTGGTTACAAATTTTGATTTTTTTTCTTATGGTTCTCAAAGAAGCAAAATATGTGTCTTAAGTGGGGAGGATTAAGACCTTACTCTGCAAGGCTGCTTTTTGCACTAGGTCAAGTGTTTCATGCGCAGTGCTTACAGTGGAAGAGTGATTAGGGAAGTCAAAGTAAATAAGCAAGTCAACATTTCTTTCCTTTACAATTTAGAAGTGGTCTTCTATTCCAAGAATCTCAGCAAAGTCTATTCTGTTGGTCACCAGACCACAGCGTTTAAAGGGTTAAACTGAGAAGAGAAAAACGCTTTTTTTAAGCACAAGAAAAGGCATTCTTTTCAGTGCCAAGCCAAACAAAACAGTTATTCACAGCCTTCTCACAGGCCTGTTGACTAGTGATGACAGGAACTTGGCAGCCCAGTCTTAACCACCAAACCTCCAGAGCTCCACGCCGGTGCCCTGTGGAAGCTTAATGAAAAATAAATTGTGTTGCTACTAGGGTTTTGCTGAAAATACCTTTTAAATCAGAGCTAGAACAGAAAGAGGATGAACATCATTGATTTATGTTGTTTTGTTTCACATTGGTTTTATGTTTCATGTTAGCTGACCACCCACCTAGTAACGAGAGATCATTTCATTTCTTGAAGATATCTATTCTTCTGCTCTCGGTGCACGACTCCTGACTTCCCTAAAATAAGCTCACTCACTGTTAGCCCTATATGGGGGATGGTTCTCCTGTTGGGCACTGTAATATGGAGTCCAGTCTCTCAACATTGATACTGTATTCTATTTTCAAAAACGCTGGTTAATTTCAAGTCATTTGCCTCTCTTGCCTCTCATATTAATTCATATTAAAATGCTGTTTTTGCAATTCCTTAAGGAACTGTAATAAACAGCAAATAAGATTGCTGCCCCGATAGGTTACAATCTGGCCTTTAGCACAGAGTTCATATTTTAATATGTAGACTATAGTCAAATGCACATACAGTAGCTGAGCGCCAGAGTAGAAGTCATAACTTAATAGTAACTTAACAGATGGCACTGATCTGCATGCATCATGTGTAAAAAATGCAATATCACAATAAGGGAAGCTTTCCAACTTTTTCCATCAGTTTTGCTATTTCATTGCTTAAGGACTCACAAATGTTTCTTATGTTGTCAAATTAACTTTGCAGATGGGCGGAGACCCATTTAGCTCATCTATCTAGAAAAATGACCTTTGCAACAATCTAATTAAGGGTGGCAAAAGGGGTGAGAGGAGTCCAAGAGACGTCTCTGGATGAAAAGACTTCCAAGCATGTAAAGAAACAGCTGACACATATCAGCTAGTATTTGTATTAAGGTGTTATCTGTATGGTTTACAGTGTACTAGTTCTGCAGAGACTGCATGTGTGCATTCTGTCACTTTGTCCAGAAACCCCGCTGAAGGCCAGATCGCTGGTCAGATTGGTGTGCTCCTGTAGCCTCTGCAGACAGTTGTGCCTAATGAAGACCTGCTAGGATGGTTGATGTATTAAAGAAAATTCCACTGCAGACCTGACCCCAGGTCTTCCAATTAACATCATGACTTTTGGAGCTAAAAATGGCATGAAGTCGAAGCCAAAGGTCTCCCTTTAACTGTGGTGGTTGCAGTGTTGGAACTTGGTTTCCTCAGTGAGGCTGCTGTTTTCTCCAAGCTCATGCCTTTTTTGAGCAGCTAGCTTCACTACACACTATAGAAAGAGGTTCTGAGCACCAGAAGAAGGTTGTCTCCAGTGTCCCTTGCACACTGCCAGAAGCCATTGCACTCAATGAATTCCCTCAAGTGTAGACATCTAATTAAGCTTTTCTTGAGAATGGTTTATGCAGCTGGGAGTTGTTCTCAGCTGTGAATGCTATTTCTGTTTTGTAACACCTTTAGTACCATACATTTCCCAATATAGACAGTCTCTTGTTTTCCAGATTTCTATATATCTTAAAGATATCTTAAAGCAAATGTCTAGCAAGTGATTGTCAGTTTGGGCTTCAGCTCTGCTCCTGTAATCTTGTGTTGAATCTTCAAATTAACATCTTGACAACAGTGACAACTCAACAGCTAATGCACTGTATAGTGTAGGCAGTATTGTCATGCATTCACGTTACTATTGATGAGATTTGTCATTTCTATCGTCTATAAGACAAATGAGGAAGAAACAGGAGCAGCATAAGATTTATTTAGATAGAAAACCCATCCGTATTTTCAAACTTCTCGAAGTTGCAAAGTACTTTTGCTGAAGAGAACATTCCCATCTAACAGAGTTTAATCCTTGACCAAATATTCAGGGTGAACCCTGATTCACAAATGTAAGTGGTAAAATACTTGTGTATATACTGTATATATATGACTCATTTCCCTTTTCACTTTAAAATCAATTAAATGGGGCGTGTATTGGAAAGTTGATGTTATTCGGGAATGTTTAGTTGAGTCCAGTATCGAGACCACCTGTTGTCGTGAACCTGGGTTTGCCAGGGATGATTATTCCTGAGTGGACACAAGAGTAGACAGGCCTGGCCATTTCCTTGCGTTTCCAGGGAAACCAGGGACGGGGCAGCAGAGACTGTCTGTTATTGTATTAAAACATTAGCTACTCCGATCACACTTCCTGATTGGGGGAGGCTGGCTCGCACTTCAAAAGGCTCTCTCTGCAGTTTGTCACTTTTAATCTGTCGACGGCCGCTGAAATATTGCTTTAGCAAATGGGTGCAGGAAGAGCGTGCAGACCTGGACTTCCAGCACCAAACCTAACACAGCACAACCGGAATAAATGGACATGTGAAAGACAGAAAAGGATTGAGATTTTCTTAGAGCACCTCCCTGTCGTATTGAATTGTATTAAATTAGGAAACAAAGTCCATCTCTTCTCCCTTTTCAAAGCTGTGACTTCTATTCTACTAAATCAAACTCACAGCATACTATATATCAGGTTTATTGTTTGCTTATTATCACCTCTTTTCATTCTTCAGCTTCAGAAAAATGTTATGCGTTAGGCTATCAATGGGTGCAGTCGGTGCTCTCTTTCAATCTCTTCAAAGTCTCTTATTGTGTTGGAGAGATAAAGTAGAGAATTGCTCCTCAAGCTTCCAGGTACCTCTTTTTAAGAAAACGTGGAAATTTCTACTCATGGTCACGCACACTATTGCTAACATAAAGGCTCTTCATTTTTGGATTAAAGGGGAATTTCGCAGACCAGTTATTAAACCTCAGTCACAAAATAGTCATTGAAAGTATAGAAAAAAATGACAAATTTTGATTTAAACACAAAATTGTGAACTTTGTAAAAGTACTGAAGGTCACCATGTCACAAATCCTTGGTCTCTCCACGGGCGAGAAGGCGATTTCCCACGAATTGCGACGTGGAGTGGCCCTTCCTGCTCACTAGTTCCTGTCATGACTAATGTAATACGATGTACAAGTGAATAAGTACAGGTTGTGCAGTAGACATCTTGCCTCAGAAATGTTCCAATGTGATCTGCATGTAGAGTTAACAAGTAGTATTTGTTGGCAAAATCTTTCTATTGGAAGACTTGCATTCACAAGCCTTCTTCTTTACAGTGTAATAAGACTGCATCACATCACCAGACGTTTTGGTGCCTTGTATTGAATCTCAGAATATGACGCTGCACTTATCTGGAAATCATGTCTTATTTTGTGATGTATATTGGAGGTTTTACAAATTACTGTCTGTTTTTCTTTCCTTGTGGTTTGAAATGCACACATCAGTGCTGATTCTTTCTAACCCTAAAACATAAAAATAGCACTCCAGTTTCCCTTTAAATTGAGCTTAATACTGAAAAAAAATTATTTAACACTTCTGCATAAGAAACCACTTCATTTCTTAATCCTCCATTCTCTCCTCATTAATGCAAGTACACACCCTCCTAGTGGGACAGATCAGCTGCATGATATCTTGTTCAGAAAGCACTGTGAAAGGAGGTTAAAACACAGTAATTATGTGTTAGAACCCCAAAACGTGGAGTATGAATCCCACCACATTACTGCAGTAGGTGAAACACCATGGAAAGTTTTTTATGCAGTACAAGATAACCCTGCAGTGTGCAAGAAGTGCATTCATGTTTGACAGCTCATTTGATTTTGGAGAAGGCATAGGTGCCAATCAGATTAAAGTGGGCCAACTCGTACAGAAAGAAAAGTGCATATTCAAGTGCAGCATAAATATTTCTGTAAGCTTGACTTCATACACACTGAAATTTGATTTCGTAGAATGAAGTTTACTGCTTTGATAGTATTTAGCAGCAAACTTTACCGGAGTTCATGAAAACTTGTATATTCTGTTATTGTCAATCCTGATTGGTTTGAAGCCATGAATCTTTCATTTTCCTACCCCCAGCCCTTATATCTCATTTGGATCTTTCTCTTGTTGAACTGCTGGAGGGAACTTAAGCAAATTGCCTGTAGTGCAATGTGTTTGGAGGGGTCATTCTTTAGAGAAGGTTACCCCATGAATAGCAGATTTCACATACAACGTCTGTAATAGGTTCAGTTACATATGTACCTCCGTTTCAAATTTTTTGTTTCTACGGTCTCTGCAGGCTTCAGTATTGCTACATTTGGCTGCTGGTCCCACGTACTGTACGTACTGTCAGAAAACAGCAGTGCTGTGTGTTTCACAAAAATAAAATGTATCTCAAGGTATAAATACAAACAGGGCCCATACTTTAATGTAAATAATCTGGAATAGAACACCAACGGCACTCAGTAAGTGGCTCCTGCTTGATTTCTGAGAGTCGATTCTGGCGCAGGAGGCTGATCTTCGTTGTCATCGACAGGGTCCACACACCACTGCTCCGCTGTCGCCGGAAAAAATGAACGGGCATCTCGTAAGTGCAACTCTTTGAAAGCAAAAAAAATATTGTTTTTTTTGTGCTGATTTTCAACTGGTGTTTGGGTGGAAATGAATAGTGTGCAAAATGCATAGCTTTGCTTGTTTATCCCGTTAAAAACAATATTAATCACTTCTTGGCATGCACTTCTGTGTTGATTTTTTCCCCGGTTTTTCTAATGTGTTTTGATGGGACACTCTGCTGTGCGCCCGGTGATTTGGGGTGACATTTGCTTACACTTCCTTAGGCTGCTTGTGACACTAATTTAAGGGGCTTTGTCATGCACTGGTCCAGTCTATGTAGTGGAGATAACTCTCCTTCATTGCAAAAGCTATTGCAATATTGTGTCTGCAGCTACAACTCCAGATTGTCCTTTAACTGGGAACCAAAAACCTTCACATCCTATAAGATGACTTTTACAACTGTGGAAAAGAAACACCTAATATAATTAGATGGAAACAGTGACATACTGTACCTGCTATTAAGCCTACACACTCTGAAGTAATTCAAGATAGTATTACGACAAAGTACCTTTGTGGCTTGGGATTTCTTCTGAAGTACAGTCAAGAAAACATGTCAGCTAGAAAAAGATTTTGGTAGGAGTGGGAAAAGCTTGAAATATGGATAAAACGTAAAGAAATAGCTCACGTTGGCCAAAGTTATCAAAATCATTTAAAAATAAATTTAAAGGCTTGAGATGACTCATCTACTTTGAAGCTTTGAATGAAAGGGCAAGTTGAGACACTTGTTTATCAGGTGGTCTTTGTTGGGTTTGCTCCAGGGGAAAACATAGAACTCAGGCGTTTGAAAGCCATTGTCAAGAGTATTGAGCTTTTCATTGACATTTTTGAAAGTATGTTATTAAACAACAGTCTCTGTTTACAAAGACTTTGTACTCCAGGTGGCAGCTTATCTCGCTTTGTGAAACAGTATTGTCAAGAATTTGCAGCAGAGCAAAAACACGTTAGGCCTAGATAGACAGGAACATCTGGACTTCTGACACGAGCAAAAAAAAAAGCAATTCTAATATGCGATTTAATATTGCCTTTTATAAAACTCCTTTCCATCATTTTTCTTCCCTTTTATTTTGCTCTGCTTTGTTATACTTACTAGACCTTGCATGACTAATTTTTGAGTCAACTAATAAAAATGATCATGATGGCTAAATCTCTAAATCACTACAGAAAAAATGTGAACACCCCCCCCCACCACCACCAAATAAAAATCTTGATGTGGTGAATTTAGTCTCTAGTTCTTCAGAAAGCTTTAATATTTTGCTGTCCAGTAATGAAATGATTATTCATATGGTTAATATAAGCATAGAGTTTCCGCAAGCTGCTAATGAACTAGTAGAATTCAACTCAACAAGACAGGAACACTTTCAAACCTGCAGTCCCTTGAAGGGCTTGAAGGTGTTGAAAGTTGGGGCGCCTGTTGCATGTAGGATCGCCGTACAGTAAATCCAAAGTCTGCTTCATTAAATCAAAGCAAATAAAGAGCATTTGGAACCTCAATGGGAGAGAAGAAGAGTTGGTGATCTTTGCACAAAGAGCTCTGGGGTTCCTGGAAGCAGCTACAGTACCCAGCTCTGTCATTGCAACCAACTCTGGTGTCCTTGGGGAAAAGCCCAGATGACATTCTGGTTCATAGCAAGATGGGTTAAAAACTTGTGAGCAAGAGCTGTAGCATCATTGCTGAATGTCCTGATATAGATTAATTTTTTCAAACTTAACGCTTCAGACCCCACGGGACACTCAGCTAAGAGGGGCTAGGACGGGCGATAACTCGACTTGTGGCGGACCTCCAGCTCAATCCCAAGATCTGACTACGAGCTTTTTAACTGCAGCCATTTTAATATACCCTGTTGGAGCTGGAGTCACTGGAAAGAGCCCTGTATTGTTATTTTTCGTCCCAACCTCCCTGACCCGGTGGTGGGAAATTGGCACCCCTGCTGCCTTCCTTGGATGTGGTCCCCGTTTCTTGGGCTCTCTCTCTGGATTCGAACCCTGATTCCCCGTTACCTGTGGTCACAGTGGTAGGCACAGATGGTACCATCGAAAGTTGATAGGGCAGACATTCGAATGAGTTGTCACTGTCATGGAGGGCGTGCGATCAACCCGAGATTATCCACTATCACAAGTGCCTGTTTTGAGCCCTCAGATTTTTTCACTTAAGTTTAAAACTATTCACATTTAGACTTATTTTAAGTTGGCTTGATAACAGCTGTTGCAGTGCATTTGTTTTCTTGTAGCCTGATCTTGTCAGATCTCAGAAGCAAGGCCGGGCCTGCTCAGCAGTCTTGAGAATTCAAGGCTGATGTTATAAGCTGTGTTGGTGGAACAGCAGGTGGGACTCTGCCAACTTGACCTGAACTTTCAGGCAGTATGGTGTCCCGGGACACTGCTGGGACACTGCTTCTTTCGGATGAGAAATAAAATGGGAGACCAGGCTGCCTGGTTTTTAAACATCCCATAACCCTCTTCACACCAGTAGGGGCGTTAAACTTTGAGTCCTGGCTAATTCCCGTTTTAGGTTTGAATATTTGGCCTTCCTTAATGTTTTCCTTGATTGAACTCAAAGAATGGCTGCCGTGCATCACCCAGGTGGGGCTGCACTTCAGTGAGGGAGGAACTGGATCCCCTGTACGTCAGGCACTTTAAATTTGTTTTGGGAGTAATAATTCAAAAGTTATCATTGAATTGTTATGCTTGGGTAATTACCAATGCTGTTGCAGCTTTGGTGAACAAATTACAATCATGATCTTAAATTAAAGCATAATTATAATAGCTTAATGCAACTAATGAATCATAACTGACATAGAAGTGAAAATATTTTTAAATAATGAACTCAAT